TCTCAAATGAGACTAACAGGCAAATACCCGTGAAACTTCATTAACGTGTGCAAGGTCCTTCTCTAAAGACCTTTGCTTTTTCTTTTCTTTTTTTTTTTTTAAGATTTTAATTTATTTTTATCTTGTGCATGGGGTTCTGTTTGCAGGACTGTCTGGACTCTAGGTACTTGTAGTGCTTGTGGAGGCCAGAAGAGAGTGCCAGGCATCCTACAAAGGGAGTTGCAGACAGTCATGAGCTGCCATGTGGGTGCTGGGAAACCAATCTGAGCTCTTAACTGCTGAGCCATGTCTCCAGTCCCATCTAACGTTTTTTTATCTTTTTACTTTTTACTCCGAGTAACAACTGGCCCCGGGATGGTAGGACTTTTGTAACCACACCGATTTAATGATATCCTTTATGTGATTACATTTTAGAAAAGCAACTCCACTAAGAGGAGGTTTTAAAAATTGGATCCCTGGGCTGGAGAGACAGCTCAGAGGTTACGAGCACTTGCTCCTCTTCCAGAGGTCCCAGATTCAATTTCCAGCAGCCACATGGTGGCTCACATCCATCTATAATGAGATCTGGTGTCCTCTTCTGGTATGCAGAACATTGTATACATAATAAATAAATAAATACTAAAAAATATTAGAATAAAATTCAATTCCCAAGGAAGACAAACCATGTCCCCAGACATAGTTCTAAGAAAGTATATAGACACTATGCTGGAATTGCCAAGTCAGAATATAAATTTTCAAGAAAAAACATGCCAGGAAAATACAGTACACTAATATGACAAATACAGTACACTAATATGACATTTTTTCTTCTATAACTTCAGAAAATACCATTTGTCTTAAGGCACCAACGCCACTGAAAAGCACTTGGGCTGAGGGCCACCTTTCCAAATGCTCACAGTTTTGAATCTAGACTGTGTGCACAGTGATGTTTCCCATAGACACTCTTCGCTGGGAACACCCACTGGAACAAAATAGTGCAGGGTCTCACAGGCACACACACACGTACAAACACACGCATGCACACATGCATGCACGCGTGTGTGTGCGCACACACACACACATACACACAGCACAGTGAAGGTTCTGTCTGCAGTGTGCTCTAGTCCTATAGGACTATAATGAAGCTAGGGAAAAATCCTTACCTGGTGACATCATAGTTGCACTGTGATCACAGCACAACGCATTACTCATGTGTCTGGGTGATACCAGTGTAAACAATCCTACTTCACTAGCAGTCATAGAAAAGAGTGACACACTCTCACTTGGAAATGAAGGACTGTGTCCCTGGTCTACATACTCAGGTGCTTTCTATCATTGTATCTTACTCTCCTTCTACAGATCATTAAAACAAAACAGTTCATTGTAAAACAGCGGCAAGCAGGTCCTCCAGGAGGCCACTGAGAAGCCACTGTCACCATAAGATGATCCCATGTGCTTTACTGCTCCTAACACCTTGTCTGGTGGGACAAGATGTCGGGGAAGTCATCAGTGTGGATTACCTCTATCGTGGGTAGCCCTAGGTTAACGGTAAAAGGTAAAAAAACCCAAACATTTTAAAGCAGAATAAAGCTAACAGAATAAGAAAGTTTTTTTTGTTTTGTTTTGTTTTTTGAAGCTCAGTGATTCTCAACCTGTGGGTCATGACCCCCTTGGAGTCAGATACCAGATACCCTGTATATCAGATATTTACATTATGACTAATAAACAGTAGCAAAATTACAGTTATGAAGTAACAACAAAAATAGTTTTATGGTTAGGGGTCACCATAACATGAGGGCCTCTAAAGGGTCGCAGCATTAGGAAGGGTGAGAACTCCTGGTGTAGCTAAACAATGTCCCCTCTAAGTGCTATCTAAAAGGTCACAAAGTTGTTTTTAGAAAATAAAAAGGGATACTAAGATCAACTTACTACAGGAGAAAAAATGTTTTGTTTTTGTTTTTTTTGTTTTTGTTGGTAAATTCAGTGGTGCTTAAGAGCCCAGTTTTAAAAATACCATCTACAGGATGACACATTAATGCTCCACACCTTCCCGGTTCCTCATCACCGACTTGCTCACTGACTCACACAGGGCGGCTTCCCGTCCTGGAAACTCCATTCATGGTAATTGCCCTATACAGTGTACCATTAAAGTAAAACCCTTTCATATTTTTGGGTTTTTTCCATGTTGAAGAGCATACACACAAGCACTGCTATGTTACAACTGCTCACAGTATTAGCACAGTGACATGTATGTGGGTTTGTACTTGGGAGCGAAAGGCTGGACCTTAAGGCCTCGCTATGGAGTTGGCTGCACTGCCTAGGTTTATACATTTCATGATGTTTGCACAATGACAGTACCACCTAGTGAAGCATTTCTCAGAACTGTCCCTGGAGCCATCCCTGGCGTCACGACACATGACAGTGTCACCTACCTTGGGATGGCAGAAGAGACAGAGTGGCCACATACAGCTCATTTGACTTCTGAGGGCTAAGCTGTTTTGTTTGTGATTTCTAGTTTTTAATGTTTCGTCTGGACTTTCAAAAATGGTTTCTACAACTATAGCTACCTAGTAAAATCCTTCCAAAACAAACAAACAAAAAAACCCCGCCCCCTGCAAACCAGACAAACAAAAACCAAAACGAGCAAATAAGAATATATTCAGAATGAAGCTGATAAAGGTCAGATACCAACTCCCTTTAGTATAAGCATATAGGTAGTAAAAACGGTGAGATAAAGCAGGATAATGATTAACATAAATCTTAAGGCACGTTAGGGTTGGTAGGGCTGTGAAGCCATCACCAGTCAAGGAGAGTCACAGCTCGTGTCTGTAACTGGCATTGGCTCTTATGCATTTCACCTTTTTTTCTTAATGCAATATCTCTTCTGCATAACATTTAATACTTTACGGTCATTAAAAAAACTATTGAATAAAGTACTAAACGTGTGAAGTAACAGAACAAATCACATCTTTTCCAAACCTAATGCTCTGTCCCTATAAATTTACTTTTATTTTAAAAAAATATATATATTTTAGGTAGCATCTCATGACCTAGAGATCACTATGTAAACCAGGCTGGTCTTGAACCTACATAGATCCACCTTCCTCTGCCTCCCAAGGGCTGGAATTAAAGGTGTGCACCATACCCATCCCTTAACGTTTAAAACATTACCAGTAAAAACAGTTGTCATTGTATCTGGCACTGTATAACATCAGACATTCTCATACACTTTTGCTGAGCATATTCTTCCCCTTCCCCTCCCCACTTTGTTCCTGGTTTTGCTGCTTCTTCTGTGGCGCGCGCGCGCGCGCGCGCACACACACACACACACACACACACACAGAAGCACATACACACAGGTTTACATATCTATATAAAATCCAGGAACCACAAGTAAGAAAGCACAGTAGCTGTCTGTCTAATATGGGCTTAATTCGCTTAATATAATTACCTCCAGTATAACTTAACCTTTATGTAATATTTAAATTGAAATTATGACTTGAATTTAAGGCTTTCTGGTCATTGTCCTTACCAGGTCACATGCAGGCAAGTGAAATCCCCGGTCATGGTGAAGGCGAACCCCGATAGTATAACTAACCCACCAACCCCCACAACGGTTAGAGAAGGGGTGTCGACTTGGACAGCACACCTCCACAATGGCCTGTTCACGGATGGATGGCTTGACAAGGCTACACTGTATCTTTGTGAACAGCCTGGCATGGAGGCGGGTGTGGCGGGGGAGGGGGTGACCACTGAAACTGTTTTATAAGCCGGATGATCTGGAGAGCACTTTCCCTTTCATTCTGACACCTTGTGTGCCCAGCCCTGTTAACTGTGCCCCTCACAGTGCTGAGGCTGTGGGATACTTGGTTGGAACAATTAGACCCTCCAGTTTCCCCTTTTAAAAAACAGAAGTTTAATGTCCAAGGGTTAAGGGTCAGCATCTTTAGCTTGTCACTCCCTCTTGCAACCCCAGTTCTTATGATTTCTAAAGACCAGCTTTTTAAGGGACATTCTAGATAAAACTTTGATGGAGAACCAACCAGGAAAAAAAAACATGTTAAAATATTTTAGTATGGGCGGGCTGTGGTGGCACAAGCCTTTCTTTAATCCCAGCACTGAGGAGGCAGAGGCAGGGCCTAAATTCAAGGCCAGCCTAGTTACAAAGCAGAGGTCCAGGACAGCCAGGGTTACAGAGGAAGCCTGACTCCAACGACAACAACAAAACCAGAAAGGGGAAAGATCTCGATATCTGATGAATAAAAGAAAGATCACTTTTAGAAGTCGTCCACAACAGACGCTCACAGCCACCTGAGTGCTGATCCCCTGGGACAGCGGTGGCTCCAGCATAGGGTGCACAGGGTGTGCCACACCAGAATGCAACGCATCCCACCGCAGACCTGCCGGGGTCGGCGAGGGAGCCCCGACCCAGAGGCACACAGCATTCCCTAGTCTGCTTTCACCCTCTCCCCACCCAGGAAGGCCGTGCCCACCACACCCTTCTTGCCTGTGGTGGCCTGAGGTGTCACAAAGGTACTTAGGTGAGGCTCACGTTTCCAGGAATGAAAGTGGAATGAAGGATGGCCACTGTGGGGGAAGACTGGAGGTCAAAGCAGGAAGTTAGATGCCAGCCCCTGAGCCTGTCAGACCCGCAGGCAAGGGGGGGGTGGAGGTGGGGGTGAATGGGTGAGGAGTGGGGGTGAGGGCAGGGAGGGAGGGAGAAGGGAAAACTTTTTTTTTTAATTGGAGCCCCCACACTTGACCCCTGGTGTCTGTCCCTCTCTTTCCTCACTGAACTTACACTTCTAAAAAGAAGGAACAGTGAAGGAATTTAGCAATTCACTAGTTTAGGTACTTAAATACTCAGAAATCTACTTGGGAAATTATGGATTTGAGAAAGTACAAAAACAACTGGTAAGAACTAAGTAATTTATATTTCTTTCAAGCATCCTGCAGGGTACTAATCACAGAAGGCCTGGGAATACGTACTGCCAGGCAGGGGCTGTAAAAGACTTACCAACCTCAGGACAAGCTGCTGGAGAGCAGCGGCGCGAAGGCTCTCACCATCCTGCCCACAGCAGCCAGGCTGTGCACACGGGCAGGCTGCTACTCTCCACAGCACCTACTGATGACTCAGCCTGGACTTTGGAGATCAACTCACACTATCTCTGGATATTCCTGTGTTTGTCTCGGGGGAAACTCCACGCCCTGTACTGTGCCCAGAACAACTGTCAGCAATAATGGGATGCATTCAGCACCCTGCTGCACAAATGGGCTCTTTGTGCTGATGGCCAAGCCATACCCTCTGGCTCTGTGGGCAGGCCTACCAGGGCACAGGCCCGCTATCACACAAACTCAGGAGTGCAGGACAATTCACATTCAGCCTGGCCAGTATGCCTGTGTGCCCACAAGGAAAAGACCTCAGCTTAGCAAATGCAAAGTAAAGTAGCACAGTGAGCACACACACATGTGCGTGCGCATGTGCACAGACAGACAGACAGACAGACAGACACACACACACACACACACACACACACACACACACACAAAGCCAGCTGTCCAGTGGCCACTCAGTGAAGAGGGAGGGAAACGGAAGTAACGTGCAGGCCACGTGCAGAGTCAGGAGACCCTTCCTCTGTTGACTTTTTCCCAAGACACGTGCTCCAGATGCCATGAGTATCAGGTTCAACTGCAGAGGTGAAGGGGTACAGGGCACTTCTTGTCTAGTGACCACAAAGGAAGAAGGAACAATGACAATCCCTGATAAGCGAGGGGACAGGCATACTTGGTGCTAAGGGAGCCCCAGGGAAAAGGCATCAAGGGGGGTGGAGGGAGTTGGGCTTCTTTTCTTTCTACGGCAGAAAGGCAGATTTGTTTGCCCAAAGTTTCTCCAGGTTAGCAAGTCGAGAGATACAAGTTTGAAGACATATGACCCAAGAAACAGAGATGGCAGAAGAACGGAGGCACCGAGCAGTAGGCATTGGGCCCTGAATGCCCCTCCACTTAAATCAAGCTGAGCTCATCTGCCAGGAAGCCCGGAACCCCTGGCATCAAGATGGAGGGTGCTTGGGTAGAGGGGATGCAATCCCACATTAATGTAGCAGATCAGAGGTCAGGGGTGGCCAAAACCAGAGGAGAGTATCCCAGCTCCGGAGGACAGCATTGCATCTATGAAGAGACAGAGTGGCTGAGTGGCGGGTAGTGAGCAGAGGCAGGGCAATACCACTTCTGTTCCAGTCCCTTGGAGGCTTAGGATCATCCGCACAATAGGCTGGTGGAATGTGAGTCAGAGGGTTCGGTTTCAGAGGCGAGAACTTGAGGGTCCCTAGACACGTAAGCACAGGTGTCATGGTGAGTGCTCTGGACAGCAAGCCAGAGGCAGCAGCAGTAGTACCTAAGGGTGGACATGGATTTCAAAGGTCAGCCAGAACCACTCAAGTCCCTGCCTCTTGTAACTGAGTGACCCTGGGCAAGGGAATTGACCTTTTTGAGACTTTACTGTTAGCTCAGGAAATTTCTCCGGAGATTTAATGAGCTCAGAAAAGGACTTAATATCACAGCAGACAGAAGATAGTTCATATTTTCCTCTTGCCCTTTTGTGACCATATAGTGCTTTGTTTTATAATTTGAGTTCTTAACCCACGCAGCAGATTACAAGCTTTCTTGCTGTCAGTCACCCGTCTTTAAATCCCTTTTGACCTTCCTTGTATGCACAGATTCTCAAATATTTGAATTGCCACAAGTCATAAGAAAAGCTCAGGCCAGGGATGGTCCAGGGGAACCAGGAGTTTCCTGCCCTTAACGTTAAACAACAAATCCAAAGATTCCAAAATTGCTGTGTGGTTTCAGAGGTATTGATCTAACCGTTAGGGGGTGGGGAGAAAAGGGCAATGGGGTTTAGAAAAAGAGAGAGAATTCTGTCAGTATAATGAAGTCTAGCCTGCGTGTACCTGCAATATTTAGGAAGAAGACTGTCTACTGGAGTAAATTTCACATGGTCTCTCTGTCTTAGTTCAAATCAGGGTCTAAAAGTGCTAACTAACAAATGCTTGCAAATGGGTCACACTTCAAACGAGGTGTTAAGTCAACAGAATATTCTATGAGAAATGCATGCTTTTTTTGGAAGGGGTTGGGCTTATTCTGCTAATTTTCAATACAAATTTAACTTTAATTTCTAATGAACACATTTAAACTATAGATGACCCTTGACCTGACATAGGTGATTCGACATAAAAGATTTAAACTTTACAGTAGTATGAAAGTAATCTACGTTCGGTAGAAACCATGTCTCCAAATTTCAAATCTCTTCCTGGGCTAATGATGCTGGGTTCAAAATACCCTTGTGATGGCAACCAATGGCAGAGAGACAGCTCCCTGTCAGTCATGTACTCCTGAGAGTAAGCCGGAGTGCTCCTCTGCAGTGGGCTGCGGTGCTCCACTCCAGACAGACACATTTTCAGTGGGTGGCACTTTCAACTCGAGTTTATCAGGATGAAAGCCCACCAGAAGCCGGGAGCATGCTGTGACTGCGATGTCACACTGTCCACCAGCAGCACAAACCCAGCTCTACAAAAACAGGACTCGGGATCTGCGACCTTTGTGGCCACTATGACCTCGAGCCCTCAGCAAATTCAGCTTCAAGGTTGTTCTTTCTCCTCTTCTCCCTCAGAACACTGTAGAGATATTCTAAATTCTTCTTCTACCCAGACTTCACTTCATTCTCTGAAGACAGGGGTCCCCTGGGTGAAGCCTCAGGTCACAGACAGGGACAGGCAGCATTTGCCTGCCACAGCAGCAGCCAAGCAGGGAGATCCGGCTGCAGATAACAGAGGGCACCCGTGCTGGGCTTCCGCCTTTAATCCCAGCACCCAGGAAGCGGAGGCCCGTACTGGCTTTTGTCTGGCCAGTGATCTTGTGGTGGTGGCCATTCTAAGGTAGAGGAGAGGCTGGCTCTCTATCTCTGGCCAGTGAGCTTGTGGTGGTGGCCATTCTAAGGTAGAGGAGAGGCTGGCTCTCTATCTCTTGGGTTGCAGAGAGCATCAGAAGGGCAGACACTGCATCCTTTGGAGCTGGAAGACTGCAGCAGTTATTTACTCTTACCTGTGTAAGTGCTTCCCTAATAGATATCTATTTATAATTTATCTTGGGTCTGGTAGACTCATGTAAGCCCCACCTTCAGAGGCAGGAGAATCTGTTTGTTGAAGGCCAGTCTGATTTACAGAGTTCCAAGACAGTCAACCCTACATAGAGACCCAGTCTCAAAAATCAAATCAAATCACTCACTTACTCAATCATTCAATCAATCGCACACACAAAGGGCACTAGCTTTGGGAGGACAATGATCTATACCTATCCTTGACCCAAGCATGTTTACTTTAGTAATTTATCTATTGCGTAGTTGTAGGATGGAGAGTGTGGGGAGAGTGTTGAAGCTGTAGCTTGGGAGCTCAGTACTTTTCTAATGTATACAAAGCCCTGGGTTTGATTTTGGACACACGCATGAAATTGTTTTCATCCATATCAGGTTACAGAAAAAAGGACAGGGATTTGAAATATATTAAGTCCAAACAAATACAGGAAAAACAAAGACCCACCACATCCTGAAAACAACTTGAACAGTGTGTATGTCAATGGAGAACCAGTTAAAAAACACATGTGTTCGCACAGAGACTACGTCTGCGAAGACCTTGCTGTCCCAGGTGTGTGTGTATCAGGGGAAGCAGAGGCTTTACTTAGTTCTTACTTTAAGATATTTGGTACTACGGAATTTGTTTACAATGAACTTCAACTTAAAATGATTTTTAGCTCCATTTTATTTTCATTTTATGAATGTTTGCCTGCATATGTGTCTTGTGCACCACTTGCAGTACCCATGGGGGCCAGAAGAGGGCATTGGATTCTTTGGAACTGGAGTTAGTTGGTTGAGAGTCACCATTCAGGAGCTGGGAATTAAACCTGGGTCCTCTGGAAGAGCAGCCAGTGCTCTTAACCTCTGAGCCATCTCTCCACTCCTGAGCTTACACTTTTTAAGTTAAGGTTGTAAGGAAAAAGGTGAGCCTTCAAAATTCAGGCTCATTCAGACAATGCACTGAGTACTTCACTTAGTGATGCCATTTTACTCTTTGCTCAGCAAGAAACGCCAAACCTGGGCACCAACAGCACAGAGGAGACACACTGAAATGTGTTTGCTTTAGCAGTTAATGATTCAATCAGGAGATTCGGCTGCTCTCTAAGGCCCTGGCTCTGTTACGTGTTAAGTGGCTGCATTTGGCCATCATCTTTATGCTAAACGTGTGTCTGAACTTGAAGTCAGTTTTATTTAGGAGATCTGGGTTGTGTTGTTTCCTACAGTTTAGTTTCAAATCTTAAAGACAACCCCCCCAAAAGAAACCAAAACAACCTTTCATGTTAAAAACAACAAAAAGATCCATGCCCAGGCTCTGGGTAGGACAAATGGGATCTTTAGAGCTCAGATCCACTGTTTTCAAACGACATCCCCAGGTAATTCTTGTCTCTGCCATTGCTTCATGCACCCTGGAATTAACGCCAAGTGAACAGTTTTCCTAGGAGACAACGCCGCAGCAAGCAGAGAGTCCTTGAACACAAGTGTCCACTGATGCATGCTCCAGAATGTGAAGTACCAGGAGTGAACAAATCCGCCCATCTGGCTCCTTAGGGGGGGGCAGGCATGGAGGAGAGCTGTGTCTGGGAAATTGGGCCCTGAGTCTGAGCGTGGCCTCCATCACCTAGCCCTGACCAATGGGAATCTGTACCTAACAACTTCCCTTCTCCCAACAGCTCTACCCGGTTTTATCCCAGCTACAGTTTGAGCATGAAGAGTGGTATTTCCAGAGCATCCACTTGTAAGATCACCCGGGGCCATTACACTCCCTGCCCCACCTCCAGACAGTGAATCAGAGTCTCTAGTAGGTTCTGTGTCTTAGCTGGAGCCCAGGTTATAATGCACACACAGGGAGGTTTGGGAAGCCTCAATTCAGGTCAGACTCATTGCGAGAAAGGAACCAGGCCTGTCTGAGTTACATAATTTCCCCAAGGGCTGATTAACTCTGGCTGGGAGACCCAGGACATGGTGAGCTCATTCTTTCCTCATGGACCAATACTACCTGCTATGTGTAATCATCAGGGTCCACGTTATCTGTGAAGTTTCTGACTCACCGTGAGGCAGCTGTAGGTAGGTGACTAATGAAGCTTGAGTTTAGGACACATGTCAGAACGAGCTAAGAGACGGGCGATACCGTCCCCTTCGCCCCTCCCCCATTTCTTTCACTTTCAGTATCAGCAGCGGGTGGTGTGTGTGTGTGTGTGTGTGTGTGTGTGTGTGTGTGTGTGTGTGTCGGGCTGCACACCTGGGAGAGAGCAACAGCAGCCTGGCGGAGTGCACCCAGGTGAGGCAGGAGCACAAGCCGACTCAACCTCCTCACCATTTCCTCAGCTAGAGTTAGTGCGGA